TGGGGTTTTTTTTGGTTTGTTTTTTTTTTTTTTTAATTAAATCCAGGAGAATTACCTAGAGGAGGAGATCTGAGCTGAGCACATTCACTTTTCCTGCATGGACTTCAGCTCGATTACTTCTGATTTACATAAAAATGAGGAAAATAGCACAATGGCCAGTCACTGGATGCTCTCAGTCAATGTCCCTGCACTGATGTCAAAGCTACGTCCCCAGTTTACACCCGCTGGGAATTTGGCTCATTAGATGTGATTTGTTTTGCAAACACAACGCTGGGTATCTGCTGAAGGGTGAAGCTGAGGTCTCCTGCTCAGTTCTGTCACCTGAGGATGATGTTGCAATCTGATTGATTTTAACTAATGTAATATTCATGCCTGGGTAAGTAGCAAAGAGCTTGCAAGGACTGGTAAGGCCACGGGGTCTATCTAACTCCAAAATCTGCTGGCTATATGGAGCTCCTGGTGTCTGGCTTTGTTTGTTTCAAGGATTCAAGAGAAAAGGTGTTATTTTCCTACAAATATTTCTGCAAAATATACCAGGCCCTGGCCTTGAACTTCAGCACTCAAACAAGGGAAGAACACTCTCCTTTCCTCGCCCCTCGAGGTCACCTCACTCAGCCCCACCTCTGACCTCACAGTATGTTGGGATTAGCCATATCTTGCCTATTAAGTCTCCCTTCAGAAGCCACATTTTCTCCCTCTCCCTGGTTCTGGACAGTCTGGGTCTCCTTAACAAGTTGTTAGCAAAAGAATAATTTTATTTTCCTGCAAATGACAGGAAGAAAGAATGAAATCCTTCCTAGGTGATGTACAGAGATCAGATCGTGCTGGGGCAGAAGGCTTTGTGGTCTTCATGGACGTCAGGGTTTCATGTGGCCACCAGAACTGTGTTCTGCCCCTGACGTGTTGGTGGGGCTGGGCTATGGATCACCAGAGTCTTCATGTCTACCTTGACTAAGACCCTGGGCAAACATTCAGGACTGAACTTGCAAGTCCTTGAGATGGGATAAAAGTGAAGTGTTCTCCTAACACCAGGCCCAGTTCCTGGCCCACAGTCAAGCTCAATTCATTGAAGTCAGTGAAGGAAATCAGGGCTGCATTAATCCTTCTGCTTCAATTGAACGAGAACAATAAACACTGCAAGAGCCAGCAGAAGTTTTGTGTGAATAAGGATTTAGGATTTGGTCTGAAATGCCAGAAAAGGTGTTGACGTTTTTTGAATCTTGCTCCTCTTGGTGAACGTCCTTTTGGTGTAACATGACAATGGGACAATACTTCTCCTGATGGTCACCTCCCTTGGGGAACACAGGCATGCTCCTCTGCTCTCTGTTCTCCAGCCAGGAGTGGGGGAGAGGTGAGACTTTCCTGGTGCATTTATGAAATCCAATTAAACCCATGCCTTGGTTTGCATTGCAGCCAGAGCTGTGCTGCTGCATCCCACCACAAAACAGCTAACAGGGATCTTGGTCCTGCTTATCTCTGTACACCCCATCCTGCAACGGGCAGTGGGAGCCTAACGGGGAACAAACTCAGCGTAGAGGAAGAGGAGGGACCCACCTCTCTGTGTAATGCCCACAAGGCTCATGACATGCAGGGTGGAAAGGTCCCTGGAGCCAAACTGACTTGGATTCCCAGGTGAAAAGCTGCCTGAGATGCTTCTGTCCATGCTGATCTCAGCGCAGAAGCCCAGACCCTCACCACCACCTGCTCTGCGTCCTCAGGGCTCCTGACTGCCCGTGGTGCCATTCCCTACCCTCTGCTGGGCCAAGTGCACCAGCACATCTCAGCAAGCAGAGAACCTCAGCTGAGAAACAAAAACATTAGCCACAGTACTAGAATGAAGTTTTTTTCCTTCTTATCCTCTAGCTTCATTGAAAAGCTTCCCTAGAGAACTCGCAGAAGTAGCATTTTCAGTTTTACCCCTTTCTTTGAAAGAAAACGCATTCCAATGAAGAGCAGAGCCAGACAGGTTTGTTTAACGTCTTCTCCCAAGGTTTAGTCCTGCTGTGGACTCTCCAGCATCTAATAAAAAAGGCATCTGCTGACAAATGGGTTGTCCATTCAGCTGTTGGAGAGGAGGGGGAGTTGTCTGCAGGGGCTCTCTGCTCACAGAAAAGAGCAAAACCCAAAGCTTCCAGCAAAGTCTGGGCAGCACATGGACCTCCTGCAACGGGTCGGATGTGAGGAGGAAAACTTGCTGTTGTTTATGCAATAAATCTTTTATTCTCCGTGGGGTATTTTCGATGGAATGGAGATACCTTAAAGATGTTTATACTTCCCTGAAAGCCAGGGAAGCAAAGATATCTGAGCCATCTAAGTTACTCGAGAAGCAAGTTGTTCTGCAAGCACAGTTCCCTCGCTCGCCAAGCGTTCTTCAGAACCGTGTGTGCAGGCTGCCTTCTGCCCCTGGGAGGGAGCACGGTGTATCAGCCCCCGCAGACGCCAGCACACCCGTACGGAGTGTCTGCACTGACCCCAGGGGAGGGTGGATGGTGCCCCTGCGCTCCGAGGGCTGTGCATTCAGAGGTAGAATAATGAGCTTTCCAAGTCGCCTGGCTCGGCTGCGGGGCTGCGACGCTCTCCGCTGCTCCAAAGCTGTGGCACTCCTGGTGTGCAGTGTGAAGCCACGTTACCATCCACACCAGCAGCTCCAGGGACCCCTCCCAGACACAAAGAGAGCTTCAGCAGCCCGGTACCGAGTTCTTCTGCTTGTTTGGTCTCCCATTTCTCCATTCCCCAGGCCTGTGGCAGGACGTGTGGCCGTGGCACTGTGCAGGAAACCTCGGCTCCGCCACGGACTCCCTGCCTGGCATTAGCAAGAGCAGCACCTGGCTTCGTGCCGTGGACCCCCCTGCCCTGTAAAACCCAGAGAACTGGAGCCCCCGTGGTGCTAGAGGGCCCTGCTGAAAGCTGGCACACATTACTCTTGCTGGAAAGCAGCGTCCCACAGCAATAGCTGCCCTGCAGCGAAGACCAGGCTCTCTGGGCTCCCTCCCAGCACAACTGGCCCTTTCCCCGTGGCCTGTGGCAGTAGCCCACCCTCCTCAGCACAGCCACCCCAGAGCGTGGCATACACACGAGCTGCAGGGAGCAGTGAAGTGAGGACTGTGCGGCTGTGTTAGACTTTTAAGCCGCTCAGAGCTAATCCTGCTTACTTCTCATTCCTTTTAATTAGCCTTCATTAAGGACCGATACATCACAACTCACTTGCTATGAATAACTATTAATCAAATAGGGTATCAGCTCCAGCTAATTGCCCATATTTGTTCTCTTTTATTCCCTGCACTAATGCCATCCTGCCTTTGTAACCCGTCCCTGGTGTAACTGGCTCTTGAGCAAGGTGAGGCTCTCAGGTCTGCGCTGGGCAGGCAGGAGCAGGAGCCCCTGGGCTGGATGGGACCACGTCTCCATGGCTCATCACCACACCAAATATATTTAGCCTCACAACCTGTTTTATAAGATTGGCTTCACTGCTGGAAAACCAGAGTTGATGCTAGAGTTGATGCCAAGTCCAAGAGAAGGATTTTCAGAGGCAAAGGTTTCCTAGGGCCACAATCCCACCTCCAGACTCACCCATGGACTGGACTTGTTCTCCCCGTGATCTCTCCCTTGTTAAGAACCATACTCCTAATAAGCATCTTTGTAAAAGAGAGGACAAGAATAGAGCAGAAGAACAGTTTGGTTGGAAGGGACCCGCAACAATCACCTAGTCCAACTGTCAGTATTGTCACCCACCCTGTGTGGAAGGAAGAACAACCCTCTGCATGTCCTTCTAGGTCCCTTCCAACTCCAGATATTCTATGATTCTAGGATATCATCTGTGCAACATGGAATATTTTGCATCAACCTTTCACAGCAGTTTTGTGGCACTTGCACCATTCTTCTGGAGGAGAAAAATGTTTGGTTTATCGTACAGCTGCAGCCTTTGTCATAGCCAAAAAATGGACTTCCAGTTCTGGTGCTCTGCATCCCCCTGAAGTAAAATGGTCCTTTCAGCTCCAGCTCTGCCCTGGGAGAGTGCTCCTTCCAGCTCACCGTGCTTTAAAGTAACTATAGAGTCTGCTGAGGGGGAAAAGAGAAACAAGTTGCTGTCTTTCCAGCAAACCCACCAACCCCAACAACGTAGGGAGCAAAAGGTTTTACAGACATCACCCATGAATGGGCAAACGTGCCCTAAGCAATGGGAAAAAAAGGAAAATAGACTTGTTGGGCAATTAACAGATGGTTTCATGTGAAGAACTATGCTCTAGAGAAGAAAAAAAATCATTTTTCTTTTGGGGATTAACACCAACAAGTAAAAAGACATTTCTAAAGAGTCAAGTTGGCCAAAATCCCTGTGAATAGAGCACAGCCTGTACTCCAGCTGTGTGTGTCTTTTTTCCACACTAGAATTTCTTTCTCCACAGTCATTTCTTGGGGCGCATCCCCATTTTTCTGGGTAGGAAATCTGTGCCCAGGCTGTAAAATTCTGGTACTGTCTGAGGTTACCTGGAGTTTTGTGCCTCTGAAAGACTCTTCTGCATCCAGTTTTGCCTGGTTACTTAACCACAGCCCATGTCCTGCTTTTCAACCCAGCCCAGCCTCAGCACCTCTTTAGCCCTGCAGGACCCCCGTTGCTTTCTCCCCCCTCTGTGCGGCAGGTGGCAGAGGAAGCAGCACCTCTAGGGGAAGGTCCCCTGGAAGGAGAGCAGAGGAGGAAGGGAACAGCGTTCCATGGCATCGCCGGAGGCTGGTTTATGACCTCCCAGGGGTGGCGAAGGCTGCATTCCCCGGCTCTAACAGAGGGGGCCGGGGCTGATGTTCCCTCAGCTGGAACACAGATGAAAAAAAAAAAAGCATCAGGTTTCCTAGGACCACACTCCCATCTCCCTGGGCAGGTGATCCTCCGGCCCCCGCATCCCTATATATACAGGCTGTCCCCCTGCTCCCTCTCTGGGCGCAGCCAGCGCGGCAGCAGTTGCCTGGAGGCGTGGGCAGGGTCAGCCCCCGCAGCCCCCAGCCCCATGATGTGGGAGCTGCGATCCATCGCCTTCACCCGCGCCGTCTTTGCGGAATTCCTGGCGACGTTGGTCTTCATCCTCTTCGGCCTGGGCTCTGCTCTGAACTGGCCCTCAGCCCCCTCCCCGACCACCCTCCAGATCGCGCTGGCTTTCGGCCTGGCCATCGGCACGCTGGTCCAGGCCCTGGGGCACGTCAGCGGAGCCCACATCAA